TCTTGGTCCAGTTGTGAGGATTTTTGTTTTCTTTATGTTGAGGTGTAATCGGTACTCTAGGTACCACCATATCTTTATCCCATCGAGCAGCTGGCAGGTTCAAACCTTCTGGTTAGCAGTCAAGAGCTTTAATCAATGAGCCACCAGGGCTCCTCTTATGTCTCAGAAAGGATACACATTAATCCAAAAAAATAAAATATCAGTTATTTTCTGTCTTTATAGATCCTTAAAAGGAATGTAAAATAAAACCAAAAACAGAACCAAACTCACTGCTGTGGAGTCGGATCTGACTCATAGCAACCCCCCCCTCCCCCCTTGGGTTTTCCAGGCCGTATCATTACAGAAGTAGATTGCCCAATCTTCCTCCAAGGAGTGACTGGTGGGTTTGAACCATCAGCCTTCTGGTTAGCAGTCAAATGCTTGTTAAAAATTACTAAGAAAATTTTGAAGGTTAACTGCTTTCTTCCAAAAATAATAGATTTTTTCAAACACTGATGTACTTTCACATTTTAAAACTAAATATTATGTCAAATTGGTAATATATGCCATGTCTGTTTCATATGAGGAAGCTTGGTAGTGCAGTGGCTAAGACTTCAGCTGCTAACCAAAAGATGGGTGGTTCAAACTCATCAGCTTCTGGGTGAGAGAAAGATGTGGCATCTGCTTCCATGAAGATTTACAGCCTTGGAAACCCTATGATGCAGTTCTTCTCTGCCTTGTTGCCCTGCTATGAGTTGGAATCAACTCAATTAACAATGGATTATTATTATTATTATATAGGGTAAAGGTTGCTAATAGTTCTTTCTTTCTTCTTCTTTTTCTTTTTTTGGTGAAAATAAGATGTTTACTATTTTCTCAAATTTACAAATGGCCTTCAAGTTGAGAAAAACAAAAAGTGAGCCCTAATCAGAGTTAGGGAAGGGAATGCTATTGTTGACACCATAATGTCCACAAGCAATACTAGCAAACTGAAGGAGAAGGGACATGATCATGGAACCAGATTTTACTTATGATTTCATGGTTTGCTGGTAGGTTCCACTAGTGTGCTATTTAAATTCTATATGTTTTAAGAATTAGTATAGATTTCTCCAGGAATAATACAATTTTTACACAATTAAAAAGAATCTAGATATTTTTAAATGATTTGTGCCATATTTATTAAAGGCCTCTGGTTTGGTCTAAATTTTAGACTGCAGATTGAACACCTAAATCCTATATTTGTTTATCAAAATAAGTGTATGAAATGCATATTTGTCACTCTGAAAATGCTCCTTCTTTGCATGAAATCATACATACCTGCAAATAAAAGTACACTATCAATTGTTATTCCAAAAGCATTATTAATTTAGCTATTGTTAAAATGAATTTAATCTCTATTTTGACAGATATGTTTATTTTATTCATTTTTAACTCTATCATAAACTAACTGACCATAGGTTTACCTACTACATATGCATATCATATCAATAAAGAATTCATAAAAAGTTTTATTGTCACATCAGA